CCCCAAAACCCCAAAACCCCAAAACCCCAAAACCCCAGCTCGTTAGAAAATTATTGAAACGGGGATTTTATAAACATCACAGTTATTCTTATTTTAAAGTAATTTCTCTCCATTTTTAGTTCGAAATATTGCCTCGAACTTTTTATGTCTGTTCCCAGCTGAGTCTCAGGATGTTATGAGTATTCAAGTTGTGAAAATTTCTCTTAGCCTCATGTAGATCGCTAAGGAATTCTCAGAGCCCTCAAAGTTTTCTATGAAATCTAGTGATATAACTCTTATGCCAAACTGGTGAGCAAGTCCGGTGGATAGTAGTAAAATCAAATCTTTTCAAGACAGTTTTTTATTTCTCAATTTTCTTATACTTTAAGGGAAGTTTTATCCATGAAATACTGGCTAAGGCTAAGAAAGTTCAACCTAAGTTCTATTTATGGATAGTAGTTTAAGTAAGCTGTCAACAAGGACCTTACTCAAACCACTCCAAATTTCTGAATAAGATTCTTAAATGAGGAAATATGAACATAGGTATGGCTGTATATGATAAGAATCGATCGAGTATGAAGACTCGGGTTGTGGTATCAATTGTTCTTAATCCTACCATTAATTTTCTCCTTGCTTCTCGAACTTAAAGGACCTCTGACAGACATCTCAAAGCTTACTGGACGTTACTAAGATAATAAAAATGACTCAGAACCGATTATGTAGAAATATTTTTAGTATAACTTATTAATGGATAGTATATTTACTCATAATTGATTCATTCGGAAAAGTTTCAAATAGGCCTTAGCTTCTTCGACCTTTTCAATAATAAAGAGTTTTTCCCGAGAGAGAGCGTTGGTGTCAAATCTGTGTTGTCCCTTCATGTAACAGCTCTCATAAAGTTGAAGTCACCTGGATGAGTTTGCTCTATTCTCATGTTGGTGAGGAACTTTGAAATTCTGTACTCTTTATCTCAGCGATCACCTTTAGATTTAAATTTCCTGAATTTTTCTAAAATATGTGTAAGAATTTCTTGCTTATGGAAAAAGAAAACAGAAAACCAAATGAATAGAGCATAAAGAGATAACCTAGTAATCAATTAGCTAAAAGTACTATCAATTAAGCATATGATATTGTGAATCTCAGGACTCAGTCTTTTTCTTTATAAAGACTGGATGTATCCTCGCATCAAAAATATTTTGAAGCGAGGTCACTAATGAATCATAATAAAGTGTTTTAGTGGTAATTCACCACTCAGAATTGGTAAATTCCAAAGAATGCACTCTTTTTATGCACAGATACAAAGAGGTATCAAAAGGATAAGCCTTATTGCTAACATTCTGATATCTTACCTAATCTTTTCATCCTTGTATCAGACTCGCTTCATTGAGTCTTATGACTTTTGGAAGAAAGGTTGTCTTCATCGTTGCTTTTCTTCATTTTCCAAAGTTTGGTCTTTTGTTGTTTTAAAGCCATGCTCATTTGGATAAATATATTTTATTTAATCTCTATAACACTGGGCTTATTAGGGGTTTTGGGGTTTTGGGGTTTTGGGGTTTTGGGG